TTCTCGTTTTATTATATTGTGATATCATTTACGAAATTTACAATTTTGCTTTTAGCCCCCTTATACTTTCAGTACCTTGATTCGGATGTTCATTATCTTAGCTCCGGCGTTTGGGAGGATTTTGGTCAACTATATGACTATTTGAAAAATCGCATCGATTTTGTGGGTCCATTGGAAAATTACAAGTTCATTGTTGGTGATAAAGAAATGAATTTTGGTTGGTCAAAAATGAAAATTATCGACTTCCTTAAACAACAAAAATGTTCGATTGATAATCCAGTCAAGATATCTGATAAAAAAAAAGGTATGTTATTCAGTTCGCTAGCAGAACGAAAATAACCTGAATTAATACAATCTTATCTTGATGCTTGTTACTACTTAGGAAAAGCGAATGAACCGTCAAGTAAGCTGATTATGAATAGTATTATTCTATTAGTGATTTTTGGCGAGGTTTAATTATTTCTTGTACATTCTATAGAAGATCCGTCATATCGTCCTAGAAGTGAAGAAGACGAAGAAATTGTACAGAAAGCTTTTAATAGAACTTTTCAAGATCCAAGTAACCTTTCGGAAAGGTTCATACAATTTATCGACAAGTGTCTAGATGATTACGAAACGATAAAAGGTTATTATGCGCCATACACAACCTTAGTTCAAGCCAGTGGCACAGGAAAGTCCAAATTATTGATAAATGTTGCAGAAAAGATAATGACTGTATATTGTTGTCTGCGGGACTCCAAATCAAGTGGTTATCCATCCAGATCGGATATTGCCAACATACTAGTAAGAGATTTTATGAACGAACAAGAAGCCATAGCTACCTACCTTGCATACATATGCGCATGTTTTCAAAAGATGCAGGAATTTGATAGAGATTTTAAGGAATGGATGGATTGGCATACCAATAAAAATTCGCAAGAGAAATTTTGGAGAGATGTTGAGAACAGAATGGGAGATATCAAGTCCCATCTTATGAAATGTTCTAAGGATAGCGAGACGACTGAATTGGTCAAGAAATATTTAGTTAAAAAAAAACATATAGAACGAAAAGGTTCAGTTAAATACCTGTTTGCATTCGATGAAGCTCGTACACTGGTTGGTAGTGATACAAATCGAAAATCGAAAAATCGATTAGTTGTCAACTAAACCAACTAATCGATTGGAAATTTTTAAAAAAAATAATTTATCGATTGAAAAATTTTGTCAACTTATAATAAAATAATCGATCAAAATCGATAAATCGTTTAGTTGACAACTAATCGATTGAAAATTTTTGAATTAGTCAACTAATCGATTGAAAAATTTTTGGCAATTTGTAACACTACTGGTTGGTAAGAAGGTTGAAAGTAAGAACATTGGAAAAAATTCACCGTTCTATTATATTCGACGTGCTTTAATTCTCTTACCCGAAAGAGCAGGGATTTTTGCAGTCTTTACGGACACACATTCAAATATTTCGAACTTTTCGCCCGCTTCTTACCTCGATCCATCTAAAAGAGTTGCGGAGGATGGTTCTCAATTATTTGCGCCGTTTTATTTGCTAGACACTGTGGACATGAATGTCAATTTCGTTAATTTTAAGGAAGCCACGACATTAAAGGAGTCAGAAGACCCACAACATTTCTTTCAGTATGGAAGACCTTTGTGGGGTGCACTATTAATGCCTTCTAGTGATACTAAAGGGATGGAACCAGAACGTATTATCGAATTGGCCATGGACAAGCTTATTGGCGGACAATTTTTCAGCGTTTGGAGGAAAAACCAAATTAAAATGTTGGATACTTTGGCTATTCTAGGACCCCGTTTATGTGTCGAAATAGCGCCACAATCTGAATATGCGCCTGATTTAATAGCAAACAATATGCGCCTTTGTATTAAAGTCTTAGAGAATCGTAAATGCATTGTTACAGCGATGCCTACCGAACCCGTACTAGCAGAAGCTAGTGCTCGAATAATGAATGATCCGCATATCAGCCTCACAGAACTTATTAATAAGCTATCCGAAGCCTTAAAAAAAGGCGTAGTAGAGGCCGGTTACCGTGGAGAGCTCACAGCCAGGTTGTTACTTCTCAACGCCTGGGATTGTTGCATCAAAAAAAAGATCCTAGATGACACGAATATTAGTAAAAATTATTTTCGATTCGTGACTCTTGAAGAATTTTTAAAATCGTTACTCGCGGATAATGTTTATGAGAAAATAAAGAATCGCCTTGAAGAGACAGTAAAGTTTACTGGAAGAAAATTCAGCGAAGCTTATATTAAGTTTACACACTTTATCAATATTACATATACTCCGAAGAGAAAAGATCTCGGGGATGCTCTGATTCGTGGTATTGCATATTCATGTAAACGAAATCAGCAGGGAGTAGATATTATAATACCTCTATATATGGGCACTCTTGATGAAAAGTTTAACGAAGATCGTATTTCATATATATTAATACAAATTAAAAATCACGCTACTAATAACAAAGGTTATGGATATTTAAAGTCTGCAACTACTTGTCTGTCGCCAGCTTATATAGGCATTGAGGATCTACCGTATATGCCATTTTTGTCGTTGTATTTGCAATTAGGTGCAAAAACAGAGTTAGTTGACGTTCCGTCAAAGTTTACTGAAACACGTAATATGACTTCGTGCAAACGTAAAATTGCAGAAGTATTAGAAGATTATAAAACGGATACTAAAGAAACAGGAAAAGAATTCGTTAAGAAGATTAGACTTGAAAATAAGGAAGATTCAAGTGCTTCAAGTGCCGAAATCAAAGCATTTCGAGAGCATTTTCAGACCTCACTTGGATTATTTGGACTATCTTCGAACATTTACAATTGCCTGGCGCAGTCTACACCAGTTTCCACAACCTCATTATCAGCCAAAGTTAGCGATCTCACAAATAGCCTTAAACATTTATTGTCTGCTTGGGTTGATCCCGTGATGGGAGAAGGTCAAGAAACTATGAAGATAGTTAAACGTCTGACTCCAAAGGTATACAAGATGGAGGAGTAGTAAGATTATTGATTATAAAATTTAATGAATATGTGATAGCATGTA